TATTGGGTTGGCAACTAAGTCATTGCCGATTTCAAATAAGAAGGCAAATTCAGAATTTTTGTTTAAAAATATAACTTTATTCAATTAGATATTGCCCGTTCTTGTCGATGACCTTTTTCCATCGTTCTGGCAGCGTAAAAATTCCCCGTTCGTAAAATGTCTTGTCTTTGCTATTAAAAAACTGAATTAGGTGTGATCTGACATCATCCGCGTTGTTAAAAATTTTACCATTTAAAGAGTTTTGCATGGAACGAAACAAATGGTAATCCGAAGGCGCAAGGTCAGGGCTATATGGTGGGTGTGACAAAACATCCCAACCCAGTTCCAATAATTTTTGCCGAGTAACCAAAGATGTGTGGGGCCTTGCGTTATCATGATGGAAAACAACACCCTTCCGATTTGATAATACCGGCCGCTTTTCTTCAATTGCATCCTTCAGTTTGTCGAGTTGTTCAACATACACATTTGAATTTATCGTTTGGTTCTGCGGCATGAGTTCAAAATACAAAATTCCTTTGTGATCCCACCAGACTGACAGCATAATCTTTTTTTGGTGAATCTCTGCTTTTGATGCTGTTTGGGCTGGTTGATCTTGCTTCACCCACGATCTCTTGCGAGTAACATTGTTATAAACTATCCACTTTTCGTCGCCAGTAACTAGGTTCTTCAGAAATGGATCATTTTCATTGCGTTTCAGTAGCGAATCACAGATGCTAATCCGTTGCGTCAAATGAATTTCCTTTAGCTGGTGAGGGATCCATAAATCAAGTTTCTTGACATAACCAAGGGTTTTTAATTTTTTTTCAATGCATGTATGCGACACATTGAGCTTCTCTGCAATGTCTCGTGTTGTGCTGTGACGATCTGAATCGATAATGGCCTTGATATGGGTTTCATCCACTTCGACTGGGCGGCCAGATCGTTGTGCATTTTTCAGTGAAAAATCACCGGAACGAAATCTTTCAAACCAATTTCGACACTGCCTTTCTTTTAAGGCTTCATCTCCATATACGGCACATAACTTCTTTTGTGCTTGCGATGCGTTCTTGCCTTTTCGGAAGTAATACAATAAAATGTGTCGGAAGTGCACGTCCTGTTCTTCCATTTTTAAATTGGGATAAAAACAAAACTAAAGAACTAATCAAAAAAATTTTTTTACTAATTAAACGTAGAAGTCCATACAGTAAGAAAAAAATATAGGTTAGATGCTCTGGCCACGTTAACAAAACAAAAGAAAGTGTAGAGTGAATCTATCGACAAAAACGGCAATGACTTAGTTGTCAACCCAATAGGTTCTTTCTGGCATTTTTTTCTAAAATAACCCGGACTCACCAGCATTGAAGACCTGGTCAGGAGTGTAGGAATTAACGGCTATAATTTCAGCAAATTTTGCCGGATATTGTTACGCTGCATCTGAATCAGCAGATGCTTGTTCACCTTTCAATCTTAGATTATGTAAAGAATGTCTTCGTTTAAATCTTTCAAATCAACCATGGCTTGCAGAAAAAGACAGCTTCTTTTCAGCTGAAGAAGTAGATGGTAACTGCTTCTTAATTTTTTCATAAATCTTCAAAGCCTTATTTGTAATTGTATTGGTATTGACAGAAAATAGCAGGAGTTCGACTCGCTTCCTCGAGTGCGTAACAGACACTAAGAAAAACAAAACACCGCCAGGGGCTTCAGCGTCGCCGTGCAACGCACCCACACACACACACATCGACCCAAACAGCAGACCGATATCGATCCCTCCGATCCAACCGGTATCAATTGGAATCCGCTTTTGAGTGGCGTCTTCTAGCCATATCATTAATGCTTTTTCCATATTTTCCATTGCAACATCTCTTACGTATGAAGCTGTGCTCATACTCGTAGAAGATCCAGCTGCTACACTTTTTCTAATGGAGTCTTCATTTTTTCTTATGGTCCTTATTGTGGCTTCATTCATGGAATAAAATTTAGCAACATCTGTTACTCTTTCTCCATTACGCAGACGATCTAAAATTTTAATTTTGCTTTCTAAAGATATAACTCTTCTTTTCACTTGTGTTTTTTTTAAATTTCTTTTGGCATGGTAAAACCCCTAAAATTTTAATAAAATTATAAAAATGCTACAAAAACTATAATTGTTTTTCACTAACTAAAAGAAAAACACAATGATGTATACCTTTCTGCTGCTAAAAATTTACTGCACTAAATTGTAGGGGACAAAGTCTAAAATAACTTAAAATGTTAAGAAAACTAGGGAGAGACACGGAAAAAGACTGGCGAGAGACTGTCGGGGCGAGACTCCGGCTTGCTTATCTGCCCTCGGCTCGCGCGCCTAAAAAGTTGAATAACGCGATGTCTTTTAGCGCGCCAAGACTTTGGCGCGGGCTCACGCCACGCTCGTCAACTATCCCGGATTTTCTCGATTTTGTGTTTCTTTTTTAAATTTCTTTTAGCATGGTAAAACCCCTAAAATTTTAATAAAATTATAAAAATGCTACAAAAACTATAATTGTTTTTCACTAACTAAAAGAAAAACACAATGATGTATATCTTTCTGCTGCTAAAAATTTACTGCACTAAATTGTAGGGGACAAAGTCTAAAATAACTTAAAATGTTAAGAAAACTAGGGAGAGACACGGAAAAAGACTGGCGAGAGACTTGCGAGAGACTGTCGGGGCGAGACTCCGGCTTGCCTATCTGCCCTCGGCTCGCGCGCCTAAAAAGTTGAATAACGCGATGCCTTTTAGCGCGCCAAGACTTTGGCGCGGGCTCACGCCACACTCGCCGGGGCAAATTTAAAAACCGTGTAAAAGTGAAATCGTGTAAATAAAGTACCGTGTAAATCGGGGGATAGTGTGTAAATCGGGGGATAGGTGTAGTGTGCTTCTAAGCAGCGCGTGTGGTCTGACGGGGATTTCCTTAAGAATTCGCCTTGCGCTCAACGTGTTAACACGTTGACGCCGGCGTGCATCACCGGTGGGTCACACGTGTCTGTTCCGTGAGGCGGCGTGCATCACGGTGGGTCACACTTGTATTTCACAAAATAGGTAGTACAAAATAGGTTTATGTTATTTTATCTCAACATTATAAACAGACATTCAATAGTAAAAACATAACAATTCAATATTATAAACTTAACATAATTATTTAATTTTTTTATGCAATTTTTTAAAATATGTTAGACAGAGTGCCAGCTGGCCCTTACAACGATCACAATATGTTGTTACTTTTTTGGCTTTATTCGCGGCATACTGTGTACCTTTTATTCTAGAAATGCGTTTATAACATTGTTTACACCGCCGTCTCGTTTTTCTCGCGGGCCCTTGGTACGACTGCAGAAAATGTGAATGTTTTTTGGGCAGTACTTCATTTTCACCTGGCATTTCTTCTCTGTGGGGATTTACTGTACTTAAAAGGTGATCAATAATTTTTTCGCGAAATTTTAAAATTTTAATACTTTTAGTACCCCATTTTCTATGTACATACCACGCATTTACGAGGCAAGTCCCGCATATTAACACTTAGCCGACCGCGCGCGCTACAGCGAACTGTACGGTTTCCACCGCGCTCGGGGAAGCCAAACTGCGCTGTCCACCGCGCATTTTTCGGAAGTAACACGGACTGAAATTCACTATTTGAAATCAAAAAAGTCCGAAAATTATTTATGTGATCAATTATATCTTACGGTAACAATTTCGTTTAACGATTTCACATATTGTTTATACAAAACATGAAATTAAAAGTTTATAACAATTATTTTTTGTAGGTTGTTCAAAAAGTATAGGTAATAAAGTCGGAAAATTAAGAACATTAAAGATGACTAAGGATAAATAACACGACCCAAACATGAAATAAAAAAATAGTAATGTATTTTAATATTGTTTTAGAGTGTGATATCGTTCAAAACATGTCAGTTTACGTAATGGCACATTACAATATTCGCAAATATATCGCGTATAACCAGATTTTTTGTTTGCAGAGCATACTCTGCATCTTCGGTGAGGATATGATTTTTTTCCATTCGTCACAATTGGTACTAATTTGTGTTTTTTAAAATCTTGAGATAGTCTTCCTGGTGGGTCATGTCTCGGTGCTCGTCTTGTTGTTTCTACTACGTTCGACGGTCCTACCTCTTCGGTGTCTAAATCTTGAATTTCCTGTGTTTCCACCAATGCTATTGCAACTTTAAGCAAAAATTTTTTATATGTTGTTCTATTATTATTTATTTTTCTTTGGACTAGAAACGAATTAAAAAGAGCAGCATTTAAAAAATAAAGCACTGCTTTTTTTGTCCATTTGGTGCTTTTCCGGAGAATATTATAATATGACATACAGTACCGGACAAATGTATTCGGACAAATGATTTCTCTTAGTTTTTATGAATAAGTCACGATATTAATATAAAATGAATTGAGCAATTTATGAAAGTCAGGGTGATAAATAATGTATGTAAACCAATTTAGCAAATTGTAACATAAAATATATATTTTGAACAATAAACAAAAATTTGATTGACAAAAGTATTCGGACAAAACTTATATCTTGAAAAAATTATAATATAAACGAATGTTATTCATGAAAATAAAAGAATAAATTAATATTTAGTAGAATAACCTCTAGAATCAATAACTGCCTGCATTCTTTTGGGCATAGATTTCAAAAGACTATTTAATGTAGCAGGAGTAATGTTTTGCCATTTTTGGCAAAGAGTGTTGTACAATTTAGCAGTATTTAGAAATTTTTCATTTTTTATGGATAGTTTCAAATGTTCCCAAAGATGTTCTATTGGATTTAGGTCCGGACTTTGCGATGGCCACTTAAGAACGTTCACATTATTTACACGAATCCAATTTTTCACGGCACAAGAGGTGTGTTTTGGATCATTATCATGTTGGAATATCCAATTTTCGTCCATGATTTCCCTTGCATGAGGCAACATGTCTGTCTCTAATATTTCTATGTACTGTTCCTTCTTCATTATACCTTTAATTTGCCGCAATGGACCAACGCCGTGACCGGAAAAGCACCCCCAAACCATAATGCTTCCTCCTCCATGTTTTACTGTGGGAATTTGATAACGCACGTTGAATCTTTGACCTTTTGGTCGACGTACCCACTGAATTCCATCAGATCCAAATAATTTAAATTTACTTTCGTCGCTGAAAAGTACATTGGACCAGTCTTCTATTGACCAATGAAGGTGTTCCTGAGCAAATTTAAGTCGGGCCATCCTATTCTTTTTCGAAATCAATGGTTTCTTTACTCCATGTCGTCCATGTAACCCAAAAGACATTAGACGACGTCGTACTGTACGCACACTAACGTCCAAGTCGTCAGTTTCGATTAAACTTCTATGGATCTCTACTGCAGTCCTCCTGGGATCAGCAATTGACAGACGTCGTATTTGCCTGTCTTGTCTAATCGAGGTCTTTTTCGGACGGCCAGACTTGAATTTATTTTCTAAGTGTCCTCGTTCTTGAAATCGCTTTTGAATGCAGTACACGGTTTGTTTTGCGATGTTAAAGCGTCGGGAAACGTCACATATGGATTCACCATTTTGTAAAGCATTTACAACCTGTTCCTTCATATATTTCGGTAAACTTTGTCCTCGCACCATCTTCGTAAGAATAGAATAAAAGCACAAGAAAAGAATTTAACAAATATATCAGCATTAAAAAATAAATTACACGCATAAATGAAACGTCCGAATACTTTTGTCCAAGCAAATTCGAATAAAACCTATCTTATACGTAATATAGAGTAAATATCTACCTCTAACTTCCTCGTGAGCTAGCTTTCAACTAATCGAAAACAAAACACAGAGTGGCCTTCTCCCACCAACAATGTCATAGTGTAGAGAAACAAAAATATTTTTGTCCGAATTCATTTGTCCGGTACTGTACATTGGTCTGCACGATCAACTCCTTTCATATATTTGTTGTATTCCACAACAGATTTGGGTTTTGTTCTCGGTCTTGACCAATGTGAAACGTTTACCATTTCTGCCGAATGAATAGTTGAAATGGTTCTGACTATTCGATTTCTCTTTGCTTGCCAGACTTGTAAAAGAATTTGTCCCTTTCTTGCAAATTTTGTTTCGTGTTCTTTCAATGTGATGTTTTTTAAATTCTGCGGAAATCCTCTGTTTGCCCTAATTGTTCTGCAAACTGTTGTATTCTTCTGGAGGAGCAATTCGGCTGTTTGTATGCTATTGTAGTAATTGTCCATGTAAATATGATGGTGGAATCCCACATAAGGGATCTTGTAGCGCTGCTTCTGCGTCTGAATACACTTTAAAATTACAAATGTATCCTGATGCTGCTTCGCAGAGCATCCGCACCAGAATTCCATATTTTACTAGTTCTGCGGGATTATACGTGCGGAAAGATAATCTGCCTCGCCAAGGTATTATGCCTTCATCCAATGACAATTCCTGCTTTGGTGTATATACAGTTTGGAATTTGTGTTGTATATAATTTACAACTTCTCTAATTTTGAATAGTTTGTCTGATTTGTCGTGCAATAAATCATTATTGCAAAAATGCCACATTCTCCAGATTTGCATAAATCTATTGCGACTCATTGTTTTTAGGAAGATTGGGGTTTCTATATATGAGAGAGTGGACCAGCAATCATATACAGTGGCTCAAAGTAAAACTCGGACATTTGCATATTTTTGTTTTATGAAGGGATAATTAATGTAGAGCACGAATTAAATGAACGATTGAGTAATTTTTATTAAGCTATAGTTACAGACATACAAATCCATGAAAAACAAAAACAAAATTACAATGTATTAATCAAATAAGAAACAAAGTATCAAACCGAACGGAAATTTATCTCAAATTAAAACTCGGACAATAGAGAATTTTTATCTATATGTATGTTTTACATTATTTTTAATACTTAGTTGGCAGTCCTTTGTTTGTTTTGACAGCTTTCAATCGATTCGGAATTGATCGCACTAATTTTTCACAATATGAAAGGTCAATCTTTGCCCATTCCTTTTGCAGTGCCTTCTCCAAGTCTTTCGCATTAGAGATGATGTGGTTTTTCAGTTTTTCTTCCAAATATGCCCATAAATGTTCGGTTACGTTTAAGTCTGGTGACTGAGGAGGTGTTTCAATAACGTGCGGTTTCAAAAACTGAAACACTCGGCAATACCCAATTTTTGGACTCTATCCTTCAAATTTTCTTTTAGAATCTGCAAATACTTTTTGTGGTCCATTAATCCGTTAATGATATGAAGGTTTCCTGGTCCAGCAGCTGACATGGATCCCCAAACCATAATGGAACCACCCCCATGTTTAACAGTCGGTCGCAAGTTTTCTTCTCGTAATTCTTCATTTGGCTTTCTCCAAACATATGTTTGCCCATCAGAGCGAAAAATATTGAATTTACTCTCGTCCGTGAATAAATCAGTCTCCCAAAATGAAAAATCTTTATCTTTGTAAAGTTTTACGAACTGCAATCTTTTCGAACGATTCTTTTGGCTTACAAAGGGTTTCCTTCGGGCGACTCTGCCATTGAAATTATTCTTCCTCAATGTAATTCTTACTGTTTCTGGATTTGCTTCTTTTCCAAGATATCTCTTTGCTTCTATAGCTAATTTTGGAGCACTCAATTTTGGATTTTTTTTTACTTGTCTTACGATCCAACGTTCTTCGGATTCTGTGAATATCTTTCGTTTGCTTGGTTTGGACTGGTTTTCCACACTATTTCTCGTTCTGAATCGTTTTATTACGTCGTGAACTGTAGAGTGACTTCGTTTCACTATTTTTGCAATATTTCGGACTGATAAACCGTCTTTGAAATGGTTTATAATGAGCTCTCGAAGTTCTAACGACGTTTGTCCAGACTGTCTACCCATGTTCAGATTTGAAAACGAAAATCCACAAAAGTAAACGAATTTCTACGATTTGCAGTACAACTAACACTGGCATTAATGGAACTCTATGGCAAACTAACTGATACTTCATTTGTTTTCGTTCGTTTTTGTTTCATATACAACTGTATAATTACAACGTTGCCACTTGTCCGAGTTTTAGTTTGAGATGAATTTCCGTTCGGTTTGATACTTTGTTTCTTATTTGATTAATACATTGTAATTTTGTTTTCATTTTTCATGGATTTGTATGTCTGTAACTGTAGCTTAATAAAAATTAGTCAATCGTTCATTTAATTCGTGCTCTACATTAATTATCCCTTCATAAAACAAAAATATGCAAGTGTCCGAGTTTTACTTTGAGCCACTGTATGTCATCTTTACGTGTTTGTCCCATCAAGATAATTAACCCCAGAAACTTTTTCATTTCTCTCACTGTGACGTCAACCCATTTCACTGCTTTATACTCTTTATATTTGTTTACAACCTGAGGGCGACATCTGTTTGTTTTTGTTACTAGTAATTCAAAAAAATCATTACCAAGAAACAACTATACTATTTCCCATACGTTTTCCTGATCTTGAGGCATCGTGTTCACGCTTGAAGTTCGATCATATGCTTCTAACATAGTTGAACTCTCTCATCATCCTCTGTCCAATCATCGACATCATTGACAATAATGTCTTCATCCGTGTCATCAGCGGAATTAACATCATCTTCCGATTCGCTCAAAAGCATTCGACGATTACTTTGACGTATGGGAACGATGGTACTCTCATTGTCGTTAAATTCACAATCACTTATCAGCGTATCGCTGTCTTCAGAACAGTCTGATAGTGCGTCCATAAACAACTCATCATTTAAATTTTCATTCTTGCTTCTGGACATTTTTAACGGTATTATTCTATACCTTATACTTTATTTTTAAAAATTTATTTGTCACACTTCACACTACTATAACTTTATTTAGTCCCAATTGATTGTGTAACTCTTTAAGTAATTTTGACCACTTGTTGGGAATCGCAGCACGGAGCTTGGCTTTGTTACGTGTGTTACGCTTGTCGTGTCCTCACATGGAGCGTAATACTTGTTTGGGTTTGTGGATCGGTTAAAACGTTCACCGTATGAGGGTGATACGTTGTTGACAACAAATCCGACAGGATTGGAACCTTCGGCGTACGTGGTATATACGCCGTTCTCCAAAGGATGGACAAGGTTGGGTGTTCAACGTGTATGGTTGACGACAAGAGGTTGGTGGACGGGTCAGAACATTCAACGCATGTGGTTCTACGTCGTTCTCTGACAAGTCCGATAGGATTGGAACCGTCGGCGTACGTGGTATATACGCCGTTCTCCAAAGGATGGACAAGGTTGGGTGTTCAACGTGTATGGTTGACGACAAGAGGTTGGTGGACCGGTCAGAACATTCAACGCATGTGGTTCTACGTCGTTCTCTGACAAGTCCGATAGGATTGGAACCGTCGGCGTACGTGGTATATACGCCGTTCTCCAAAGGATGGTCACGGTTTGGTGGTTGTGAGGACAGTACGTACCGTAATGTCGGACATACCTCGAGCGGTTAAGATATATCCTTTGTGAGTCCAGCTACCTCGTTACTAATGTTACAAGGAGATGGTTAATTGAATATAGGCTGAGCAATTCTACAATAGCTATATTCTAATAATATTCAATTGTGGTTACAATAAGATTACAATGTTTTAAATATGAATTACAATGGTTGATTCTTGGCTGAGCAAGAATCTTCCTTCTCGACTTTACACGGTGAGTACGCGGGGACGTCGTAGACAAGTATGTCTAGTTGACACTTACGAATTTAGTATTATACTTGGTTGCTCGAAAGGGAATTGAGCCTGATCTTGCTGGTGTCAAACGGCGACTATACAGATACTGCTCTACTTTAACGTTCAGGGTAACTCTGAACTGTGACAGCCCCTGAGCCCCGAAAATCATGCCCTTATATACTCCAAAATTTGTACTTTTTGGGTGGTAGGGGCCCTAATTTTCCCATGAGACTGAAGTGCGTTCGTTTACTTTATCTCAAGGGGGTGAGCTCTAGGCGGATGTCTCGACGCCGCCGTGTCGGCTAGTCTGCGTACGTAACAGCTTGTACATTAATATTTACAAGTTGAGCGGAGTCTTTTATATTATATTTACAGGTGAGAGTGGGGTGTAGGTGGTATCTTCGGTTTCTAATGGGTGTGGTGTTTTGGTGGTGCTGACCTACAGTGTCAGTTGTGGGTGTTTTCGTTGGTAGTGCTAGCCGGACGTTTTTAGGCCAGTTAGTATGTTGCAAAAATGACCGCGAGGGTTGACTATTTTCCAGGTGTCGGTATGCACTGTGTGCATGTGGCGGTCGTAAAATAACTGACGAGTCAGATTTTATGACTGGTAGAAGTTGAGCGCTAATGGTTTTTAGGGGTCAGAAGGGGGACCTTCGGAAATCCCGAACCTAAAGAGCCGTAATAAGGTCAAAGTGGGAGATCTCCCCGATCGGTCGTACACCGACTTACTTTAAAGTGGGGAGATCTTCCCGATCGGTCGGGCAACGACTTACTTTAAAGTGGGGAGATCTCCCCGATCGGTCGGCTAAGTGTTAATTCTATTACAATTTTTCTATACCATTTTACGGTTCTGCGCAAACAACTATAATAGGATGACATCTGATCGGATAGATCAACCCTCTTTTTAGCATCATTATAAAAAAAACAGTGTCTGGCTTTAATTTACTATTTTTCCCCTGAACAATAACATACCTGTGATTTTTGGAAGTAGCTAGCATACATACTGGCCTTTTGTCAGTCCATTTTAAAAATTTAACGCCGCTCCGATTTTGAAAACTCATAAAGCCACACCGTTGCTGTTTCTGTTTTGCCTGCGGCGGTAGAAATTTTTTATTCATTTTTATAGTGCCACAAATAAATGTTCTTTTTTTGCAGAAGTTCCTCGGTCAAAGGGACACTAGTATAAAAGCTATCGGTAAATAGTATGCGGCCTTCAAAAAATAATTCACCTATCGATGTCATTACTACATCATCTGCATGTGTTTTCACTATTCTGGTTGCATTTTTTCCGGCATAAATATGAATGTTATACTTATGCCGCTTGCCTGGAATATATTGGCGAAAACTGAGGCGCCTTCTCCACGGAACCATGGTTTCGTCAATTACAATATTTTTACCAGGTTTAACAGTATTTTTGAACATATGGACAATTGCGACAACAATATTTCTAAGTTTATACAAACGGTCCTCAGTCCTAGCCGTGGAATTGTCGGAAAAATGTAAATATTTAAGTATCGATATAAACCGATCGCGTTTCATCGCGTTTTTTATACGTGCGTTCGAATACATGTCCTTTCGTGACCAGTATAATCTAATTTCAGGTAGCCGCACTACACTCATGATAAGCAGGATACCAATAAAGGTGTTCAGTTCGTCTTTTGTAACAGGCTTCCAGGCCTGTTGGTGTCTTCTGCTGCTAGATGCAGAGTTGTTCATGCATTGTACGGCATATTTATTCGTTTCCTCAACAATCATTTCTAATATACATATAGTCCGTGAAGAATAACTTATATGAAGAAACGATTTTCTCAAAAACTGAGGATGATGGACAAAAACTGATTTCAGATTCGTTTTTAGCTCGTCGAGATCTATAAGAATCACCTAGTGGGTATTACCGCGCAAAAATCGTGTTGAACAGTGTAATCTGACGCTGCGCCGCCCCACGAAGCAAACCGTGCATTGGGAGCCGCCTCCATAAGTTCTCAATGGGATTGAGATCCGGTGACTAAGGTGGTGGATGTAATACTTTTGGACAGTTATACAGTAAATATTCTTGCACAATACGTGCCTTGTGCTTCGGATCGTTGTCTTGGTAATATTTAAAAGTGTCAAGAATTCCCATTTTTATTGCACTTGTGCGTAAATTATTTTTTAAAATATTTAGATATATGTTTTTGTCCATTATGCTATCGATAAAAACTAATTCGCCCATTCCAAATGTCGAAATACATCCCCATACAAGCACATTTCCACCTCCGTGTTTTACAGTGGGTTTCGTATTTTTAAATTTAAATTCTTCATTTTTCTTCCGCCACACCATTCTTCGTCCATCGGAACCAAAAATATTAAATTTACTCTCGTCGTCACTAAAAATAACGTCATTCCACCATATATCTTCTTTCAAAACAAATTCTCTTGCAAAATTCAATCTTTTCTTCCTATTCATTTCATTTACAAAAGGTTTTTTTCGAGCAACTCTTCCATGGTAACTACTTTCTTTCAATGTTCTACGTATTGTTTGGGGGTGCACTTTCTTTCCAGTCTCTATGAAGAGTTCGTCGGCTAGTTTTGGTGCACTTATTGTAGGATCTTTCTTTACTTTTCTGATAGTTTTCCCGTTGTCACGCGTATCTAACTTCTTTGGTTGACCTTTTTGTGGTATCGACTCTATGCGATCCTCGTGTTTAAATCTTCTAATGATATCTCCCACGGTACTCTTCCAATTTGTCTATACGATTTTCCTTTGGTATTATGAAAAATCACAAGTTAGCGTATATTAAAACTGGTATTACTTTTGCGTGCCATTGTGACGAAACACGACTAATGTTACAGGGCTTAATATTGTCCGTATAGACTACTGTGTTTCTAAACAAACACTACCTTGGAATTCCGAAGTACAAAGCTCATGAATATTGCTATATCTCTAAGTGTCCAAATATTAAAGTAACGTTAAAATCAGACATTATTTCATTCAAAAGATATTATTTAACAAGTATTGTAAATTATGTAAATAAAATTTGTACTATTGTTAACTGAACACAGTGCTTTAATATTGTACCTTATTGTGTATGTTTTTTTTTTCGTTCTGAAGAAAATTATAATGAAGTAAAATAAAAATATTGTGGTGTCCGAATATTAAAGTTACTCACTGTATATGGTAGTAATAAAAATTTCTTCACGCCTTTCTTTTGGAAGAAAAATCGCGAAAACCATCTGGCCGGGAACTTTTGCACGCCACTGTATGCTGTAGGCTCGTCTGTACCTTATGCGGAGAGATTATTCGGAGGTGGCACCTCGTTCAAGCTTCGCGTTGAAGCTCGGTGGCTGAGGCGTGTCTGCTCAAGCTTGGCTCGTATCCTTTCGATTTCGGCGGGCATTTGTCTTCTTTCCTGGACTTCGGCGTCCAATTCGCGCTGTCTCTGCTCCAACGTGCGTGCATCTTCTCGAAGGCGTTTCTCCTTTTCGGCAAGATGCCTTTGCATCGATATTACACTTTCGTTGGCCGGGGCTTGAAGTGTGGCGGCTTCGGCCTTTGCTCTGGTCGTCATTTTCACTGGGTTTGTGAAATGGTGTCTCCTCGCAGAAACGCTACGACATTTATAGATCGCGCTGTATCCAATATTTCGAACCCTGATGTCATGATTGTTTCTGTGTCGGCCTCATCGTCGGATAGCATCCAGTCGATCACTTGCGGTTCTTGTGTTACTGGGCGCGTTTTCGCGTACGGCACCAACCTCTGGTGCACCGCGATAGTGCGCTTTTTCCAGGCTTTAAACGACTTCCCTGC